CGTCTGCATATGGTAGACGTAGGATTACATAATTGTATTAGGCGCTGAGTAAGTAGATCGTCCTAATGGATCAGTAGAATGTAGGTGCAAAATGTGAGGCATTTATTACTGGACAAATAATATTTATTAAAAATTGATTTTTTAAACCGATTTTCCATAAAAACTTACAAGGTAAGGAGTTGGTGTAAAAAAACATTTTGGGTCTCTTAAAGGGGGAAAATCACTTGGGTATTCCACAAGGCAACCGGCAGCCGTTATCGGAAATCAAGATAGATGAAAAATTGTGGCAAAAATTACAAAAACCATTAGTTTTACGATACTGTGATGCAATATTTTATAATTAAGCCTTTAGACTTTCACGTAGTCTGAGACAAGGTGCGGAATTTTAACAGTTCATTATACAAGTAGGCAATTTTTTTCGCATTTATCGCGTTTTTCCAAAGACAGCGTGATAATGGACAAGTTTAATTTCGAGCTGTATTAGTAGAATTCTGACCATCCCTACGGATGTTCCCTTTACACTTATGGACTAATGCGAATGGAGAAATCCATTCCCATGGGTTGGTATCGATCGTTTACTCAATCGCTAATTTACAATAAATTTTCACAATATATGTAACGACGCCTAAATAGCCTCCTATGTGGTTCGATAACGCGTCGTTAGGTGATCTGTGATTTGTTTCTGTACGCATGCATTTGCGGTCGGATTAAATTGGCCCCCTTTCGCCTTTCTGGAAATGTAGAGGCAGTCTGGATTCACCAGAAACTACTGACCTTTTCCGACAGCTATGGTGGGAACATTTCTCAAAAATACTCTAATTTAACCTGCGAATTAACTATCCAGGCTTAGCTTCTATTAATGAAAACCAAACCTATTCACTGCCAATTGGCAAAGGAAAATATTTTCGTTCTATGGCATAAAAATGATGCGAACAATCAAAAGCGGGCAGAAATCGTGTGTAAAAAGCGAGCACGATTAGGGGCGCGTTTTTTTCGTCGTTCGGTTTTTTTTGTTGGTAAAATCAATTTGCCACCCCTTGTTAGATTAATATTGTATTTTCAATGCAGTAGGTTATATCGATACCGCATTATTTAATTTGATAAAGTGGGAGAGTAGCTTTTTCTTATTTTGGCTCCATGAGTTTATTGAAGTTAAACGTTCAACGTATCACCGATAGTTGATTTTTTTATGCTTTTATTGGGTTGGCTTTTGCTTCTTTGTGGTTTTGTTGTCCTATTCTGTATGCATCCGAATTTGGATTATCGCATTCTTAATCTTTGAAATGGACACGTTTCTGCTGAGGCAAGGAATTCCATTCATGGTCTTTTAAGTGAAAACGTAGTTAATTTAGCAGCTTGTAGATTTAAATATATTTAATTATTTTGGTTCTTGAAATCCACTAGTTCTGAAAGAAAGATTCTTACATTTGTATAATGTTCTTCTAGGGTCCAAAGTAAACATAACAAAATTGAAATGTGGTGCTGCCTTCTTTTATGAAAATACAAGCCGTCGAATAGAAGAATGTCAAGTCATCAGTTTGTTTTCAATAAGTTTCAACAATATTTTCTATATGTACAGTTTGCATCAGTTGAAATAAGATTACTTGGCAGTCTGTTGATGGCTTAGGCTGCGACAAAAAAATCCGACAATTGCGAGTTTAAAAATCTGGTTGGATTAATGTACTCAATCGGAGCAATCGTGCATTTTGTTTGAAGCGATGCTTAGATCTGAATTTAATGATGATTCGAAGGAAGGAACATTTCGGGAAAAATAGTAAAGTTAGTCTTAAAATGTTCACAAGTAAAACCACGACTTTTCCCAGTTTTTACTATGAGAAACAATATTAAATACAACTTCGGCTGTCGATTCAAAGTGCTTGAAACTGCCCTTGCATTCAATTAGATCCATTACAAATGCATGTGTCTCAGAGTTGCTTAACTCTGTGTGCGAGCATTAATCATTTGATTCAGTCATGCTTCCTTACCTATATTACTTTACCGACATACAAACATTTTTAGGTAGGTAGTACAATAGCATTAGCGGCACTTTTAGATACGTTCACTACGCATTGTTGGTACAACTTTTAGGAAAATGTTTCCGCATTCCCTCACATATTTAAATACAGCATCTTCATCATTTTATAATCATCTTTTCCTATTGTTTTTTTCAGTTGGGTCCACAATATTTTAGTTTTTTATCTTCCTCTGCAACAAGACCTTCCAGTTTTCGCTATCAGTGTTCATTTTTGCGACTTGGAATTTACTACAAGCGAAGCCCAGATGGAAATTTCATTGTTTCTTGTCAAAATCGCAATTTGTTTTTGGGCTTTTTGTGCGAGGAGCAGAAACAGTTTCTTCCTGCCGCAAGCGCGAACGGCTTGCAACCTCTAAGGATGCAAACCACTCGTCCTGGCAAAGCGTCAGGAATAAAAAATTGTTCTTCTTTGATGACTCTAAATCCAAAAGAATTAACCTACTTCTTGTAGGCATTGAAAGAAATAATATCTTGTGCGCTTTAGCTTAAAAAAAAAATCACTCAATCATCGAAACACATTATTACTAAAGAAACATCGCTTTGACTCACCCTGTATATTAACAGATAAACGAAGCTGTAAAAAAGTAAATATTTTGTCATGAACAAAGTTAATTTGAATTATCTTTAATGCTGCGTGACCATTTTGCGTTCGATTTTTGGCCGGAATCAAATCCGGCGAAAACCACCAATTGACGTTGCGATTGCAATATTTAGCAAATAAATTTGCATTATTAAATCCGCCATGCATGTATTACATTAGGTACCCTCAAATTGAGTAAATGCAATTTTATGCTCAAAAATCGCCAGCTCCGCACATCCAATACATTATCTATAATGACGTTGATCCGAAATTATTTGTAGAGTGCATGCACATTCTCGCTAATATATTATAATCATTTATTTAATTAACAAAATGTAATTATTTGACTGCTGCGTGTATGTTAATTTCGATGTATTTGATGTCATTTTTTATTGTGTAATTGTCCATGTTCAATTGGCAATTTTATTTCGGTTTTGATCACTTTCTCGATGTAAAATATACGGAAAGGACCACAAATTTATCGAAATGCCATTCAGCAGTTGGCTTCTTGTTTATTTCAGTTAATGAAACGGATACTACTTGTTTTCATCACAAACATAGAGTGCATGTGAAGGTCTAGAAAAGTTTATTAGTTGAAAACGGACGACTATAGTATAAAGAATTACGAACATTTTTAAAGCTTTTATCGTTGCCTCAATTTGTTGTTCGTGTGTTCCCATTGTACATTTTTTAAGATTGTGTTCTATCAAAAAAGAGCGATTTGAGTTGCGGAACTCTGTATTGCTGGGATCTTTGAAATTATTTATCATTTTTCTCAATTGAAGATACCGGAGGTTTTTTCAAATTTAATAGAAGAACAATTAAGTTCTATGGCTATGATTTCCGCTGATAATAAGAAAACTTTTAAATGTTTTCAGTTATCTGCTACATTATATAGTGGTTCATAAATCACTAACCTTGTAAGGTGTACCTACATGAGACTAAAATTAGAAGAATCTTATTGTTTATTGTCTAGTTTGAGCTTTTCAGAATAAAGTATTTTAAAACACCTTCCAGTTCCACGACACTTTATGGACATTTTTCAGTTAAAATATTAATGTGGTTTAGTTCAGGATTAAAACAGTTGTTTGTCCCAACCGCCTTATTAGAACACTGACTTATTTACAGATACTCAAAGCGCTCAAATTTGAATTATTTTATGTTAAGAGGGTTATTTGGATCCCATTTTAAAAATCTTTTATATGATTTAGAGTTAAGTTAATTCCTTAACTCGAAAATTCGGGCATTTTTTAAAAACTTTGGTTTTTAATATAACCATTATTAGTCTGTGCTGCATCTAAATTATATTAATTTTCATACTGTATATTATGTAAGAATTATTGTCTATATAATCAGGTTTATTTTCAAACGTAAGGTTTCAGAGAATATTGTATACAAAAAACGCGTTTTAAACAAATGTTGACCAAAAATATTCTGGCAATGGAATAACAACTGGACAGTTCGTTGTCCCAAATTAGCATATTCACCATTTTTCAGTCAAGATTCGTTTAAAGACGTTTTTTGCATACAAATTTCTCAAAACCTTTAACAGTTTTCGAAAGAACTTTCCTAAAAGAAAATTAGTATCCGTCTATTCTCAGAAAAAATTTCGATCAAATACGGAATCAGACATGGGGAAAAAATTGGGCAGCTAAACTCGGTTAGCTCATAAAAATGGAAGTCGTTTCATTTGTATCTTTGAAATTCTTTAATTTGCTTCTAAACTTTGCTTTGCTTAATTTGTTAGCTTTCTTTAAACTTTTAATTATTATACACACTGCATCAGACCACTTTGTTGGTCATATATCACATAAGACTAGCTATTAGGAGCGAATTTTGTTTAAGAAGCCCTAAAATATTTATCCACTGAGCAAAGCGTAGCTTCTACTTCTAACTGAATGATTTTAAATTAAAATGCCGTTTAAAATCAACTTTTTATGTCAGATATTTAATTTCTAGGTTGTTTTCGCCTATTTAGACCCGTCTATTTAGTTTTCATTTAGAATCATAAATATGGATCAATAGTGTTACAAAATATTCGTGAATTAATATTCCGATTTTGCGATGATATTTCCAGTGTCTTTCTGAATTATATCCACGATTTTTTTTGAAAATGCTAAATGTACGAAAACGCAGGTGTAGTTGATAAGATGGTAGTATATTGACAACATCATTTGATTTTCTTCCATATTCTTATACTTTTGACAATATTGCACTTACATTTTTTCTAGTCAATATCGAGTTCTGCAGGAGCAGACTTTCAACTCATCAATAACATTTGATTAATTGTAAAGTTTCCTTGAAGAACTGCATTGCAATTCAAGCTTTGGTACTCAATAGAATAAGTTCCAGTAAATTAGTTCTGAAGCAGAAATTAGCACTCACCAGTATGCAGTCTTGTGTGTTGTTGGACATGGCTCAATTGCTTGAACCTCCTGTCACAATAGGAACATTTGTAGGGTTTTTCGCCTGTATGGACGCGAATATGTTGCACCAGCTGATGGTTCGAACTGAAGGATTTGAGACACTGTTGGCATTGATGAGGTTTGACCTCAGATCGACCTCCCAGGTCTCTGGCGTGCATTTGCATGGCCGATTTGTGCATGAAGATCTGAAAATGTGTCCGATTAGTATTGATGAATGACCAAAGAAAGTTGTGGTGTTGTGTAAATTTTTGAGTGTCAAGTGAGATGTGCACGTATACATGTATTCTCTGTAAATAGCTTTCAAGCTTTTTCCATCGTAGTCCATTTATCGCATAATTGAGACCCAGTAACCACTCGAATATCTCGTTGTAACAATTGGTCTCATTAATTAAAACTTAGATTTCCAACTTTTAATTTAGCCCTAAAACGTTCGCGCTCTCACCCAGGCAACGGTCGGATTTTGCAGAGGCCAAAAAGGCCAAAAACTGACATCTGAGAGAAAAAAAATGTAATTTCTAATGAAATATTAAAAGTAAAATAATGACGAATTAAAACGAGCACCGGTAAGCGTAGAAATTTAACTGTAATTAAAAAGGGACAAGTCAAAGGCGTAGGAATCGTAAATTGCTTAAAAAATATGAAATTGTCTCTGCTCTATCCCTAGCTGACTAATTAAATTTAATACCAGACCTTGCCTTAAGGTACATTGTACCTTTTGAGACACTACGAATAATTGATAAATGACTAAGCATTTGGTAGCATACAAATAAAAGCCTTATTGTATATTATCTAAAAACTCAGCTTGACTTTCCGTGCAATTTAAATAGCAATATTAAGCGAATGTATTAAGAAAATACTTCTCCAGCACTGGCAAAAAACGAACAAGATAAGAAAAACGTTAGAAATTGCTGCCCATCAGGTAGCTGTTACAAGAAGGCTCATTTCGAGATATAAGCGTTAAAGAAACGTAAATACTTTTTTATTTTTAATCGCTTAAATGTTCGTTCTTGAAGCGTTTTAATTTCAGCTGGATATTAGACTGTTTTGGATAAATATTTAATTCTTGTCTCAACGTTTCTCTGAGATTAATGCAAAAGGTTGGCTAAAGTACAGAAACAGTTCTTTAATGAGGTCGCAATTTAAGAAGTACGGCTGTTAATTTGTCTGGCTTCACTCCGCTATAATTTCCGATATTTGTGATATTTATAAAGTCAATTTTCCCGAAAGATATGCTTGATTTGCGGACGCGTGTCCACTCTTCTGCCTGATTTAACCACCCTTGATGCGTTAAAATTCAACGTCATGTTTTTCAATGTGGTTTTCGATTAATTTTTATCAACAAGCTGTCAGCATTGGAGTTCACGTTATTCAAGTTTATCGTTTCCTGTAAAATGAGTTTTGCCCYCAGAAAWATTTTTATATCAAGTATCGATAGCTARAATGTAAAAATTTAAAAAAAATAATCCTCCCATAAAATATTAATAAATATCCCKCCCATGAAAGTTAGAGAGAGTTATATTATACAATATTTTTGAAATTTAGAGAATTCATTTATWTGAATATATAGCCGTTAGTGCAAAATAACGAAAACTTTTGTCTAGTTCCATTTTAGAATTTACAATTAAAATAATTAAAACCACCCTCGATTTTCTTGTAAACGTAATTAATTATTTGCATTAAAAATAGTTTTTTGCAAAGCATTAAACGTTCACATAKATTTTTTTATTTYAACYCTTGCATTGCTTRTCCACCTTAAATTTAAGTCSATCCAAGTCAATGGAAAACAATTGATCCAGTTGTGAAATGTTCGATTTAACCCAATTGTACGTTGGCGACCTGTGTTCATACAGGGCAATTGGAACTGCATATTCTACTCTATCTACTCTATCTACTATATAAATAAGAAATTATTTATATAAATAGATCGATGTTGGAGCTGAGCCGGTAGAAACTGAAAACTTACTTTTCACACCCTGTTTTTGCCAGTGGAATATAGATACAGTAAAAATTATACAAACTAATTTCGGACCAACCTGCATATAGGCATTTTGAATAAGAAAAAAATTCCCTGAAAATTGTATCAACAATTTTGCACATTTAGAAGCTCCGTCAGGTTCTATTGACCAAAAAACTTAACAAAAGAAAAGTGTTTTTCATTTACATTTCCGTATTTAAAAGGCCTTCATTTTTTATTTACGCAATGGAAAACTTAGCTTTGTTTCCATTTTTCTTTACTAATTGGATGCTGTGCAACCTTTCAACCATCAGAAAACCATCAGAAAATGGCAAAATATTCGGAAACTTAAAACGAAAGATTATTTTCGTTTCTAATTAAATGTGCAAGTTAGTTGTTGTTGTTGTCTCGCTTTATCACTATCAAATAAAAACCAATTGCGTTTCTTTTTCTTTCCGTTTTAAAATTGTACTAAGTTGAAGTTTTCGGAAGAATAAGATTCACAAAATTAATAATTGTTTAAGCTGTGTCAAGCACGTCAATATTCGTCCTAAAACATTGTTAAGGTATGATACAAGAAACTGATTGTACTGTTAGAAACACCCTGTATATGAAAAAGTAAGATTTTTTTTTGATTTGCTGCCATGTTCCAGGAGGCAATGTATAGCCGTTTTCCTTGCTTTTATTACGTGTTATTAATTGATATTAAGTCTGAATTTGGGCACTGTTCAAACAAAACGACATTTTTCGCCGCATTAAAATTTTCAAATCAACCCCATGGGATTTGAGAAGAAAGTAGTTAACCGTTTATAAGAAATAATAAATAGCAAATATTAATTAACTAAACTCAATATTAATTCGGTTTTGCGGTAAATCGATTTAGTTCTAAACCGCGAAACTCGTTTGATGGTTCGTTTCTGCTTCTATAGGCGCGCATTTTTACCATCCGAACCAGGAAGTGGATTTAATTGACCCAACCATGTGGATGGATGTATGTATTATACCGTATGCAATTGAGTGGGTGCAGGTCAGCCCATGGAGATGGAATACTTACTTATTCAAACGAATTCTATTAGATTTAAATATTAAAGGCGTTGAATAAATGTAAAAAAAATGACAAATATCATTTAACTTACTGTTTAAAAAAAAAACTGTTTTAAATCGTTAAACAGAATAAACTGAGAATCGCTGCATTTAAAGCGTCCGTATAGATGATAAATCTGCCCAGTAACTCTTAAATATTGCTTTTTTCGTTCTCCATAATGTCTTTTTTATCTCTGGGGACGATGAAACGAAAGGGGTAGATGTAAATTATAATTCTAAGCCGAGTTGTCAGTGGTTATTGAGCATAAGATTTGAAAAAACTGGGGTAACGAAGTAAAGTAGAGAAAATATAAATTTTAAATGACCTGGAAGATGGGGGATTAGACAATGTTAAAAGTGTTAACGAGCGTGCGACGACGTTTCTTAATTTATCGTTTAAGAAAAAAATGATCGTTCAAATCGAGTTGTATGCAAGATTACTCTGCAAAACTGAATACAATGCAGTACCTGTTGGTATTCAAAAGGCATATGCATACTGGGATAGGCAGGAAATGGAAACACTCCGCCTTGACTCCCATACATTCCGGAAGTGCTGGGTCCGGGATCAAAACTGGAATAAGGCAGTCCCAAATGACTTCCACCATGACTATGGGCTGGAGCAGAATTGCTACTCCAAGTTGATGAAGTCAAAGTGCTGTTTGATGTACTATGAGCAAGCGATGCTGCCGCAGTAACTGCAGTTTCATTACCACAGACTGGTGGAGCATAAGCCGAGTACATTTTTTCTTCAAGTTTTTCTTGTTATTTCTTATCACTTTCTCTCAAATCCCCATTAATTTAGTCTTTGCACATGTTTCATAGTTTTGTTGAAAGTTTCGCTATACTTCCATTAATCACAATGCGTGCACTTTTCAAGTTTTCCAATGAACAAAGCCCGAGCGCTGCTTGAAAGACAATAAATAAATACAATCATATAATGGCTAATATTACTGCATAGCAAAGTGAACGTACATTTTAATAAAATCCGCAAAAGTGTGTCAAACGAAATAAGTGGCACTTAAAGGCAGGTTTAAGTGGAATTTAATAGAATTATATTATCAAACCTTGAGATTGACATTTAGAAGCTGTAAGATCTCCGAACTCATGTGGAAAAAACAAGTCAAACAGTTTAAAATTGATATGTAGGTTTAGTAAATAAGGCAACAAATAATTTCCCAGCTGAAAGTGAAGACTGTACTTTAAAACTCTGCAGAAGCAAAATGTATGCTTTCAAAATAGCTTTTCGAGTTTCTTCCTGCTGTTTCATTGTCATTCTCTTCATTTTCAACTTTGTTCAGCGTGATAATTGACTTCGATATTTTCGCTTTTAGCAGGTAAAATCTTGAGATACTATAACTGCCCCTTTTCGAACAAGAAATAAAAAATATTTGCAACTTGATATTCAAGTGCGAAATATAGGTATTCACATGAGCCAAAAATGAAGCCCCAATAAATGCAATTACATTAAATAGGAACGTGATAATTCGCAAGTGCGTATCAATAATGTCTTTAAAAAATTAACCACTTGATTCTTCTAGCGTTTCATGGAAAGTAGTAGACTATGAGACAACGATTGATTCAAATGAGCATTTGCACACAACCCCAGTAAGTTCTTGAGATAAAATACATTGATTTTAATGGGTAAAAAAATAACATATATTGAAGGGCAAATATCAGTGAACCAGATTTGTTTCATTAAGACCCATTTTTTTAAATTATGAATTTGCTGTTGCGCGAATTCACTGCGACCTTGCATGTACCAAGTAAAGTAATTCCTTTTTCACACATATGAAAGATTGAAATTGAAAAAATTTCCCGACTAAGTAGGCGCTATTCTAGCAGCTTAATTAATTCAGTTTTCTGACTTATTTCTGCATTGATTTATCTAATAAATGCGCTTTTTCAAGTGGATTTGCCATAAAAACACTTTATTGTTGATGTTTATTGAGCCCCATTAAGCCAGAAACAACATGAATTAAATTGTAAAGGATGTTTGTAGATAATAATAGTATATTATTAGCGTAAAATCTGAATTGGTGTATTTTTTCTAAGATTTTCCAGTGAATGAAAACGGAACGTACCATAGGTAATTTTAGTGTTTATCGACTATTAGGATTCTAAGTATGGCAAATTGACTCTATGGAAAATTCTATGCAATTATTTTCTTCTGTTTTTCAATTGAATTGTATTTGTAAGTTTTGTGAATGAATGCAGTAATAATAGCCCTATATCATCGAATAGCTCGCTTCATGCTCATGAAATTGTTACATAAAAAGTCAGTGACTGAGTCACCTACTCGTGTAAAAGCACCAATATGATCACTAGTACCAATTCAATGCATTCCGAAATACCTTGTATCAATAACTCAATAAACATATTAATCCGTTTTAAAAAAACTTTTGTAAAATGCAGATTTTTATCGAAAATCTAAACTCAGTAGCGCTTAATTGACTCGTTGTCACGTATTCAATTAACCAACGTGCACATTCATATCACATCGGACCCAAAAAAGCACAAGCACTTTCACATTTTCCTGAAAAGTCACCGCTCATAAAACTGGGTTATCACCCGTGATAAAGAAGAACTGTTTCAAACATCGAAGTGTCAAATTTGTCTCGAAATTGCACCCGCGACTTTAAAACGACCGAACTCAACAAAAGGCTAGCAATTAATAAAATATCCCATGATATTTATAAATTTAATATTTGACGGGATATATTATAAATAATTCTTGCTTTTATTTTGTTTAGATTTACGCAAAATTGATACTTATGACTAAGATAGTTTTCGACTTCGCCTAATCCGCGCCGGTTCACATAAAATGATTATTTATTCGCTCAAGTGGTATTTAAATAATTAGTTGTTATATCGAATTTGGGTCAATTCAAATCAAAGTATTGATAAAATGCATATTTAAACATTGAAATGCAGTTTTCTTGTATGGGTGTCTTAACGGTGTTGCCTTTTCATTTCGCTATTCATAGTCGTGATTGGTTCTTGAACTATTTCATACAGTTTTTCGTCGATTTCCAATTACAAAATTGGTAGTAGGATAAAAGTGCATTTGTCCCACATGTAGGTTGAAATTTGGTCTGTTATGCTGTGGATTTAGTATGAAGTTGAAAACTGTATATTAAAGAACGTGGATGAACAGCAAGGTAAGTATAGAAGCTAACATCAATTGGTCTCAGTCAACTCAGGCCAGAATCCTAATTATGCAACCGCGATTTTGATAGACAGCGGCATAGCGGCATCAAAATAGGTTTCGTATTAATAGATCATTGGGCATTTTAAAACTTTGCGATTCTATTAATTAAATATGTCTAGATAAACGTCACTTAAGAAATGATAATTTGGCCGACCTTTGTAGTCGCTTATGTTTTCCAAACTGCATTTGAAAGTCTTGCTCAAAAACTTGATAACTAAGGTCATGATCGACTCGAAACTTTGCTAAATTTGGGAAATCGCATTCATTAATGCACAGAGGTTTAACGCATATGTAAATGCTTAATTGCAACTGTTATAGTATTCTGGTTAACGCTTCAGGAATTTGGGATATATTTTAATAGATCTTTTGAGCTTTGAACCTATAAAGTAAATTTTAGTTTTACCTAGAAAATATTCACCGTAAAACATAGTGGACGAGGTCATGATCGTTTCTAGTGCAACCTACGTACTTTGCCCACTTTTATTACTCTTTCTATCTTAAGTATATCAAACAAACTAAGGCAAATATTATTTTTTAGTAGTCGTAGTCGATTTTCAAGGAATTAGTGTTGATATCAAACTTTATCACCCGTTCCATATATTGTATGTATATTACTAAAACTCCCCAATATTGCGTAGACAATTTAGAGAAACTGAACAAATATTCGTTTTACTGGAACTAAGAGTGAAACGTTTATCAAATTTTTGTTGCTGTGCAATAAATGCATCGTTTGGAATATGCTTATCAAGCAAGGACAAACTTCAAATTCAAAATGGCATGGGGTCAAATGCAAAAGCTTATTTTTAAATAAGAACCAATAAAATAATTGCACGTTATCTCTCAATTGGCCGAAAAAGATTAGATTGACATAAAAACGCAATTTTTATTATCGGTTTCAAAATATAAATTCAATGCTCTTCATTTCTTATTGGCTCCGATTAAAAATTATCAACAACGAAATGGTGTCTAAACATTAACAATCAAATTACACACCCAAAATGGCTGAATTCGAAGATCGATAAGGAAGATGTTATGAAATGTTACTTATTGTATCTGTTTTCACATTTGTATAGTGCCGATGTTTTCAGTGTTGTTTTTTATTTAGTTCAACTTTAGTTGTTTTCTTTTTGATTCAGTTGAAAGAAACTACTGCACCTGCGGCATTCAAAATTGCTAACGTTAATATTTTTTAGTTGAAACTGCTTAGTTCACCGCTGTGTGTATTTTTCCAGTAATGAATTTTTAATCCAATGTTTTCAACTTGACGGTCATCATCAGGACCTTTATCAATTTTCGTGCCCACATAATTAGTAGCGGTAATCTGAACTAGCTTCAGATGTTTACAATCTATTCCTAAATTAAGTGTTTAAATAAAATGCACTAAAAATTTTAATTGACTGAAATGATCGATCGCCTGAGGCTGCTAACAAGTTTCTTGCAAGGGATTCATATCAACTTCATAAGAACGTCTTTGAAATAACATCTTTATTAATATCTAAGGAATAAAGGTAGTGGTCGATTAAACTAGCGAAATTCAGATATTTAATTACTTTCTAAATCGTAGACTAGAGCGAAAATTTTACAAATTGATGTTGTTTCGTCTGGATTGTACTTCGAAAAATATTTAAATCCTGATTTTATATGCGAAGTGTTGGTTAGAAAGACAAAATGTGTTACCTACGCTATTGAGAGCACAAAGAAAATGAATGCCACCAAGCATTAATAGTTCTTGAACAATATTTTTTATTTCACCTTAAAAATAAGCGCATCTGTTGACAGATATAAAATAAGTATCGACAACATCGAAACGTTGAGGAATTATAAACTTCTGATTAACTAAATAAATAGCAAATATTACCTCAAAGCATACTTTTCACGATATGAAAGACATTTGCATTGATGAAATATTTCTTTTTTTTGTATCGACCTTTTTTCTTAGGCCTTTTATTATATGAATTAATATATAATTTCTCATATTTATGTTTATATATAAAACCATAGTTTTACATTGAGAATTGCTTGGAAGAAACATGCAGAAAACATTGTTATGGACACAAAGCAAAAGCCATTCAAACCATACCAAAAAGCAGTTTGATAATTTTTGCATGGAACAACCCAGGAACTAGAATTAAGAGTTGAATAGGCACAAAAAGACGCACTAGCGAAAAGAATTGAGCACCGTAAAAATCGATATAAGAATAATTATAAATGGCAAATGAAAGTCACTGAGGACCAGAAGCAAATGAAGGAGGAAGACAACCGACCTTAGAAAAAATAACGGAGTAAGGCATATAATTAAAAAATTGCAATGGAAATATATCGAATGACTGTCGTTATAGCGGCCTCTAATGAACCGCAAAGTCGTTGATCACAAATACTTTTGCGATTTTATTTTCGACGCGAGAAGTGACTGACCATTATTATGAAAACAATTTTATGATAATACCAAAAACAGGGTGATTAATAAATATTTGTAACTGCAGCACCTCTTTTTGTGAATAAATCAAAGTCCAGCAAAGCGAATAATGCTGTGTTAATAAAGGAAAAAGATGTTAATAAACCAAAGGAAGGAGTAGAAAAGTGACTGAAGGTGAAAATTTCCTGGTCCAAATGGCAATCGACTCGAATAAAAAAAGGTATCGAGTGATTTCATGAATAAAATGAAATACATGTTGCGTCTCCACTTGGACCTTTTCCTTCAACTACCAAGCCCATATTGCCTAATACAAACTGTATTATTCTCAATTGCACATAAAGAAAAAAATATTTGCAATTGATTATATAGACGGTTTCGTACTATTCACAATTGCACATAAAGAAAAAAATATCTGCAAATGATTATCCAGACGGTTTTTTAACGGATTTTTGAAATATTATATCTAAGCTATGATGTGATAATACTGAAAATATTAGCATGCTATTAATTGCCGTTTCAAAAGAAAAAAATGTGTGGAAGGAAATCAAAGTCGATGTTGTTAATATGGTTACTGACTAAACTACAGTTACACGATTCAATTGAATAAATCCCGTACATGGCAAAAAACAGTATAATACGCGTTCCAAACCATAAAAATCACCTTTAATTGCATTTTTCCAATTGCTCCCTTTAAAGCCTTATAAAAGCTCATTAAAATACCTAAAGAAACTTTTTTGCGGCCGCACAGAAATTTATGTAGGCAATAACAAGCGCCCAACAAGATTTGCTGGGTGTACGTGTTTTTCGTATCACCGTCTCTGTCCACCTTTAGGAATACCACATAGGTGGGACGAGGATGCTGGAACTGGCAAATACAACTTGTGTCACTGAACAGCGTTAATATGACGATTTCTATTCTATGGAACGAATTAAACTTGTACAATTAGTACATTCTTAATTTCTTTTCTGTTTTCGCGATATTTATGTCTTTATTTTGTTTGCGAGGTGTTCAGTATTGTTGTGGCCATATATGTGTCTTCATGGATGTCTTGTGTGATTGCTTAGGAGCACAGATTTTATTGAGTTTCATATAGACTTTGATATTAATATGGTTTGCCATTAATATGGTTTTAGGATGTCAGCTTTAGCTGATAAACATTCAAATTTAAGTGACTTCGATTGTTTTTTAGTTTAAAATTTGCCATAATATAATAATCTCCATAGCCCAATATGTTCAATGTTAAGCTCTATTTACCCAATTTCATTCAAAGCAACAAGTTCATCCTTCAAATAACTTATCGCATCATTTTTGCGTTTTAGACATGACCCGAGATCTACTAATTATCTAACCTATGGTGGTTTTGAAGGTTTTTGTTCGCAAAAACGATGGAATTGGACAAGTTCAGTGTATGATATGTAGAGAAAAAAATTTGCATTCCTATCTCATTTGTTCAGAGGCCGATGTTTAAATCTTGCTATTTTCGTTTGGTCAAACAAACGAAAATTAGATAAGAAGTGCATTCATGCATGCATAAATATTTAGAGTGAAGTTATGAATTATAAATTAATTATTTATTAATAAAAATTCGAGTCTTTGGAAACAGTATCGTTATTTTAATTAAGAGCAGCATCGACTTACTAAAATCTATGGAAATATACGTGGCCGTAAAAAGACTATAAAAGTGGTTCAGGAAAAAAGAATAAATCTTTAATTGTATCGCGAAGACGGATTCCTTCGAAGAAACGTACTTAGCTAGCTCGGCTGAAAAAGGAGGCAGAATTATTCCGATACAGACATATAGAAAATCTCATATCGTCGATGTTCTGGGAACCAATTATAAAAATATTAAAATTTCTTCTTCAGCAATCTGGTAATAAGTATTTGCCGTTTCTATATTTTTTTGCCGAGAGCTTTCTTAGAAGTTGCTGATGGCACTTTTAAATCGTTCCAATTTGGTATGTAAGTTAAGAGTAAGTTATTCTTGGAATAACGGTAGTGGACGGACAAAGAAACAAATATCATCTTTGAATCTACCTATTTGAATGATACGATTTACTTGT